ACCACCACATAGACCGAATCCACGGTTGATTTTTCTTTTTTGTGAAGCACATTTCTAAGCCTATAAGTTTCTTACTAGATGAGCTAACGGGGTCAATCAATCGTCATTTTGTAGAGCGTTTTTTACTCCATCTTTTCTTCATAGAGACAAATTTACAACCACTTGTTTCACTATAGAAAAATTTATTATTCAAATCGAGTCAGGACTTCTGGCCCACCCTTTATCACTTAAAACGTGTAAATCAGAACGGCTCGTCAGCATACGTCTGTACTTTCAAATCCTGTTATTGTGCTATTACTTTGAAAAATGATGCGATTACAAAATCTTTCGGTATATAGATGTTATGAAAGATGCCGGAGATAGTAGTGATGAAGATTAAATTCTTCATTGATATAGCTCTTTTTCATAGCTGCACATATATAATGCATAAATATATATAGTCAGCAATTCTTCTTGTATGTTTCGACTTCTATTTGTTCTAAAAAGCAACTAATTTATATATCAATATTTTAAATTACGATTGTTGATTACTGACTAATTAAAAAGCGGGCGCAATTTGGAAACGCAGAATAATATAAATTTACTCGTTCCAAATTGCGCCCAATTTTATGCCAATTGGCTTAAATTTCGGGCGCATTTAGGAAGTAGCCTACTTAGGCTACTTCCTAAACCTAGACCTATAGAAATATATGTTTATAGTAGTAACATTTATAGTAGTAACATCATCCCAGCTATATAGGTTATAAACGACTCTTAGACCCGAGTAGAACACGTGCTCGATGTATTTTTGCTGAATATCGGTAAAAAAAACCAAGTTGAAAATAAAAAAATAAAGTGTGGTAACGCATAAGCTAAGAATAATATACGACAAATATTTATAAAAATGACTGGAATATTCCGGAAAATTATTGTTAACGCATTATATATATTTCTTATTAAACGTATACGCATAGCAATGAAAATCCCCCATCCGAGTTTAGTTTTTATATATATTCCGAGATATTTAAAAACTTTGACATATTCAATCTGTATACCACGGTATTTAATAATCGGATAGCACGGTGAAACTGTGAACCAGCATACCTTTTTTTTAACATTTACTGGTAAAATGTGTTCCTTAGAATATTTCGCTAGGATTTCCATCGCAATTTCCGCTCTTTTTTCGATCTCTATACCTTTTTGGGAAAATCTTTTTTCTAATGCTCCTGATATTACAATCGCAAGGTCGTCCGAAAAAAGATGGCATACTAGATTCATAAAAAGAGAAGGAAGAAAATGAATATGAAGGCGGAAGAGAGTGGCAGCTAATACCGATCCTTGTGGTGCACCAACGCAAATTTCTATAACACGAGAGATAGCTTCCCCGAAATAGACTGACATTGTTCTTTCCTACAACCACAGGAAAACTCAGCGAAGAAGAGGAAATGGAAATTCCAACTCTTTGAGCGTTTTTAAAAGTGCTGGGTGCCACGTTTTATCGAATTCAGACATAAAATCAACAAAGATGACTAACACGGGCCTATTGCACGCTGCCACGGTCAGTCGTAGATCTTCAGTTAATGAGAGAATTCTTGTTTGCAGTCTCCTTTCAGGAGTAAATCCGGATTGTTCATCCACGTAGACCCCTTTCTCCCTACACCATTTCTGTATTCTACCGTGTACTACACGTTCATACCATTTCCCGAAATTTGATAACAGTGAGATAGGTCGCAGCCTATCCACTCTCGGGCACAATCTGTCCTTAGAGAGACACTGTCTCTCCATACGCTCGATAAAACTCAGCGGCATGTGGTGATAATACGTGGATATACGGCGTCACAGCTTGGTAACCGAACTGTTGAACAAAATCTTGACCCCATTTATCACACGTCGCCGCTAATTCTGTGCAGTATCTGTCGCTTGTATTGTTTGACTTCAGCAATGTCAGTATATCAAAAAAACGCGTTATCAGACCCATCCTAGCTGATTCAAATAGAATGTCCCCGTTAAAGACTTCGGAAAAGTATACGGCTTGATTTTATAAGAGAATCATCCTCACACTGAAACTAATAACTTATGTTTACATTCAATCGCCCAAAAAGTTCAGCTTTTATCTGAGGCACCATGTTCTATGTCACTCGGCTTAACCTACCAAAGTTTTTTCGTTTTAGATATTTTCGTTTTCCTTCTGCTTATAACTGTCACCTTTGCGATTATCTAGGTAAATCTATTTTATTTTGACGTGTTGCTAACTCATCAAACTTTTTTCATTAAAGATATTTTCGTGTTGACACCGTGTCATTAGTTTCTTTCTGTCAAGTCTCTGGTTACTGTCAAGTCTTTGGTTTTATTGTTATCCATTATCTAGGTAAGTCGATTATATGTTTGAGATGGTGCTAATCTACCAAACTTTTTTTTATTCCAGATATTTTCGTGTTGAGACCGTGTCATTAGTTCATTACTGTCAAGTGTGGTTTCTGTCAAGTGTTATTTTGTGTCAAGTCTCTGGTTACTATCAAGTCTTTGGTTTTATTGTTATCCATTATCTAGGTAAGCCGATTATATGTTTGAGATGTTTGCTAGAAAAAAAATAGTAAATGAATCAGAAGCCATTATTGTAAAATGTAAAAAATTTTGCGAGAAAAAGAAAACCTGTACAGTGTGTGTTTTAGAGAAAGTGGAATGAATAAAGAGAGAGCATGTCCGACAAAGCTGGTAAAAAGGTGGAAAAGTTTAACGAAATACAGGGGAAGCTATTAGCTCTTAAAAATAATACATCCATCATCTCGTGAATTTATTCTGACTGTCCTGTCGGATGACGCCGTACACCGAGTAGTACGAAAGTGTTTGATGACTGCGGATTTTTGCTTTGTGAACAGTATAAAGTTTTACTTTCATTCACATCTCTCGGATACCGCTTTTGACCAAACTCATTCTTTGTGTTGCCGTCTAATGCAAGCGGCTGCAAAAGTTGTTTGAACGTACTATCTTACCACCCCTAAGGCATCCGCTTTTTCAATGTTTGGCTCGTCGACTACGAGATGCAATGGCATAGTCCTTGTAAACATATTGTGACGATCTCCGTTCATACCACTGGCAACTTTGAGAACGCCTTTAACGAACGAAAAGGCAATGTAGGACTAAAAGTATAATAGATATCGTATAATAGATATCGCAAATAATTTGTTTTCGTGCACAATGCGACGACTAGAAATTATGGTTAATTTTTAATAAAGGTTCTGACTTACTTTTGTATCTTTAGAATGTTGTTCGAAAAAGGTGAGAGCATTTTGTTTTTGCTGTTGCACCTGTTCTCTCGTAACGTTCGGAGAGACGACCTCACATGCTAGCCGTAATGCATGCTTCAATAAGACGTCACAAATTCGCAGTTTCATATGAAGTACATCGATTACTATATCATTGTACCTAGAATACATAATCGCATTAATTCTTTGCTTTTTAAAAATGCTCACTGAAAATAGGTTCCGAACAACGGTTTAAAAGTGTAGCCGTGTTTTGGATAAGCCCGGCCTGCTTCATATAAATGTTCTTCGAGTTTACGAGCACCCTTGAGCGGGTCGAATGCTGACCATTGCTTGAAAAAAATTTTTCGCTCTAGTTCCGCTGCTTGTCGGCTTTCTACACTTTGTGGCGGTATTGAATTTTCGCTGCCAATCTCTTCTGCACCATACCTAATCGTAGTTTTGGTCCTTGTCGGCTGTTTCGCTGGCTTTTTTGTTTGTTTTTTGCCTGTCGTTACTTGATAAAAGTCATCATCATCTTTTTCTTCCTCTTCGTCACCACTTATATCTGATATGTAAAGGTTTGTTCTGAATAATCGAATGCCTGTCTTTGACTGAACTATGTTTCTCCTGGTGGTAGTATGTTCTTTTCTCACAAACTGTTTCTTATTTTCTGTCGGTTTGTTTTTCCTCATACTAGATGCTCTTGACTTCAAATTTCCTTTTCAATCTCGTACAGTAGTGATCTCATTCTCCTCGTTGTCCTCGGCGTTTTCTTGATCGTTTTTTTTCTTTTTCACCGTACGACTGCTTTTTCGTATTTCCAGTAGTTGCTTCAATCCTTTTCTGTTTACTGGTTTGGATTGACTCGATGTTGATTTATTATCCTCATCGTTGGTATCTTGTTGTAACATATATGTCTTTTCAGTCGACTGTGTTGGTGGGTCCTCAGTATCACTTTCTCTCCACGTAGTAGTACGTTGAACACGTCGATATTTACACCAATTACAAGGCGTCGGAGACTGAACTCCTGCCAGGCCCATTATTTGTTGGACCATTTTAAAATCTCCACTGTATGAAAATTTAAGCGTAAACTTGACATGGTCTACCTCTACTACAGTGTTTGGTTTGAACATCTCGATAAACTGTGGAGTAATATATC